TTAATTTTCGAATAAAAATAAATTCTATAAATTCAGGTGTTAAAAATCAGACAGTCTTAATTATTTCTATTCAAATCTTAATACACATCTTAATATATTCAAATGTGTATTCAGATTCAGATGTTTTAATCTTAATACACATCTTGATATTCAGATGTGTATTCAGATTCAGATGTCTTAATCTTTAAAAAAAATGAGGCCTTAATCAAATAAAAGATTTAATTTTTTTCCAAATGCCTATATTGCTTACAGAATAATGTTCATAACTCATGTTGCTACCGTTGCTTCAGCGGAAAGAAGTTTTCAAAATTAAAATTGATAAAATCTTCCATAAGAACAACAATGTCACAAGAAAGGTTAAATGGATTAGCTTCTTGTCAATTGAGAAATACTTATTAGGAGTTATTGATTATAAGAAAATTATTAATAACTTTGTATCTAAGAAAAGCTAAAAAAATAGACTTCAAATAAATAATAAAAAAAATAAAAAATTAAGGCCCCTCATAAATTTTGGGTTTAGGCCACAAAATTCGTCGGGCCCCCCTTAGCATACTTCTGTGTGAAACTAACATTTTTCTTTAACTCAAGAGTGGATAATAAATAAAGAATAGTAAAAAGAATTAGTCATTCCATGACGAGACATTTTTGCTCTTTCTTGTCAATGAAGTTGTTAAAAGGGTTTAAAGGGGAAAGGGTGACCTGTAATAATTTTCGTACATGTATTTGAACAAATGAGACAATGTATTGGAAGCTTTACTCGTGTAATAATTTTAATACTTGGAATTAGTTCTCTCTGCAAAAAGTAAAATCAAACTATATTTTCATATTTTAGTAAAAGACATATCTGAATTAGTCTTCGACAAGTTGCAGCTGCAAATTTATACAGTAAGTTGCATTTTGCAAATAATGCTACCGTTTGAACATGTAAAGTAGTTCCAAATTTATATTACCCACTAATATTATTTGTTCGTATCATTTGTAAGTTTAGATTTTGATCGTGATTCTTAATCAAGAAAAACAATACATTGTGGCGGATTCAGAATTTAGACATAATGATCTAGAGTGGATTAAGTAAATTTTGAAATATGTATATTTAAATCTATTAAGAATTCGACTCTGAAACACTGTTCTGTCAAATTCGTGAACGCATTGTTGGCATTGCGAATTGGTACGACCTAATTTATTTGGAAGAAGTAGTTGGCAAGAAAAAGTAGGAAAATATCCATTCCAATGGAAGAGACACTATTTGTGTGCTTTCTAATTGTTCTCCTCATGCAAGGAATTAGAATGTGATCTTTGTCTAATTATAATTATCTAATTAAGAATTGATTATCTAGGTATCCATTGTGATTTGATTTGACCTGTTCAACATCAAGCACGTTTTAGAGAGAGAGATTCTATATGAAATTAAGACTTTGAGCATCTCCATTATCTAGTGGCAATTATAAATAGCAAGAAACTAGTAAGAACGTGCATACAGTTACATGACAGGCACCAAAATTATTCTCTTTTTAATTTTTTTATCATTCATTCTGAAATAAGATTGTGATGGTGGGGCCTTGTATTGTAAGTAGTATTGATTAGATAATCTCCTCCTGGATTAGAAATAAGTCTTCTGTTTAGGCATGGCTTCCATGTTTCCTTGTTTCTTCGTCAACAAAATATCAACTATAGAAAACGACCATATAAAACTCAATATTTAAAACAATTGATTTCCTTAATTTTTATAATTCTTAATTTTTACGAAATTTTCTGAATGAATCATTGTCAAGATTTTACATAATGCTCCACCATTTAGCATGTTCTTGTGTTATTTGCACTAAAAAAGAAGTCAACTATCTCAGAGTAGCATTCAAGCAAAACCAAAAAGTAAAAAATAAAACTGAGAAATGACATTTTTTTTAAAGAACAAGCTGTCAGTGGCTCTTGAGATTATAATAAAGAACTTCTCCTTATTCAACGGGCTTTGTCCTTACTCTAATACAGTTGCATTAAATAGCTAAATCTTGCAAGAGCCAAGATACTACTCTTAAGATATCCAAATTAGCTAATTTGGCAGCAGTTTTATGCCCAAATTAGCTAATTTTCTGCTGATTGAAATGGCGATGCTAAGACTATTGAGTAGTTTGGCTGTCATAGCTATGGTGCTTGGGTCAGCCATGGCTACAGATTACACAGTGGGAAGTCCTAATGGTGGATGGGACCAAACTAGTGATCTTCAATCATGGGTTGCATCTCAAAAGTTCTTCGTTGGAGATAAAATAAGTAAGTCATCTCAATATTTACATAATGTTTCCAAGAAAACAAATCTTTTTTGCACTTTGTAAAATGGATTATAGTGATCCTCCCTTTCGTAAGATCACATTTGTAGAAAAGAAGAATGTATCTTATATTGTTTGGTACAAAGAATGAGAGCCTTTGCCAGAGTCTTACACTCTAATTCCTGCACTCAAACTGGCTGAAAATGTCAATTTTGAGCTTGATCAGGCAGATTTTTCCGCTGATCTTGACTTTACAAATTGTCAGCTTTTGTCTTTACGGACGGAGTCTGGCACTTTTCTTGTTGTAGATACGAGTATTAGATGTTAAACCTAATGTTGTGTTTTCTTGACAGCTTTTTCATATGCTCCAAGCCATACTGTGCTTGAAGTTACAAAGGCTCAATATGACTCCTGTGACAACACAAATCCTATTGCAATTTATAGTGGAGGCATGACAGTCATTACTCTAGCTTCTGTCGGCAAGAGATACTTCATATGTGGAACTGGTGGACATTGTGGCTCAGGAATGAAACTCGAAGTCAACATTCTTACCAAGGCTTCTCCACCCCCACCAGCCAAACCGGCTACTCCGCCAACAGCAACTCCCACAGCTCCACCACCATCAACCCCCGCAACTCCACCACCGTCAACCCCTACAACTCCACCAGCATCTGCCCCTTCCACCACCCCAGTTACTTCCCCTCCCTCTTCGTCACCATCTCCCAAGTCTTCATCAGCACCCTCACCAAAACATGCACCTAAGAGTTCCCCTGCACTGTCACCTTCCAAGTCTTCCCACGCTCACAGCCCTGCCATGCCTCCTGCTGGCAGTCCAACAACCCCTGTTGTTGAGGCCCCAGGATTGCCTCCTTCTAGTGTTCCTGCACCTTCCCCACCTGCCCCATCATCAGCTGATAAAATCCGCGTCATTGCTGGTTCTACAGTTGGATTTGGCTTTTCGGTTATGCTGATGTTCTTTCTTTAAGCCTTCAAACAATATTTCATGTTGTTGTCTTTTTTCGTTATATTGTTGATTCAATTTATATTTTGTACCTGCTTTTCCTCAGTCCTGGTTGTTTGTTCAACACATTCTATTTTATGAATGTTGCAAATTATTGACGGAGATATAATGGACTTTAGCATTGAGATTTTCTATCTAAAGCATTGCTACAGATTTCTTTTAGCTTTGGATACTTTCTTGATTCAGTAGAATCACTAGAGGCAATAAATATGGAGTCTTACAAGACCTATGCTGATGTCTAACAAAGGTTTAAAGAAAGATCACTGTCAAACTTCCTCAATATATTGCTTGTAACAATGCAAATAGTCTGAAAATACGTGTTTCAGCGAGTTAGCCTTGATGTGAATAATTATAACCACATGAATCGAACCCAGACTGACCTCTCCCATAGCAACCATAGCAGATCAAACAAGCACTAGGTATCGGGGAAACTCAAAACAGTAAATCCTAGAGTAAGGAAAGGAATTCTGGTAGTGAGGACAGGAAGCAGAAGATACCAAAGTGACCACTCAAGCAAAACAAGCAAATCTTTTATATAGCCACATTATCCATTCATTCACATTTTGTTGACACCTGTATGTTCAAGGTCCCAATTTGTGGACCCTGTCCTATTCCAAAATTAATTTATTAAATTTCTATTTTTTCTTCTCTTTCCCTTCTTCACGAATTGTAAACAAAAGCTCCGATAATAGAGACTGTAAATATAAGCTCCGATAATGAAGACTGAAGTTCAATCGAGTTCTGATATACCAGCCTAAATAATAAGCTTCTTGATAACCTTGAGAAATATTTCTTTGAAGCCAATAACAATCTATGTCCTGAACATTCAAAGTCATTCCTTCATCCGCCTCCTGCATCTCATCTTCCTCAATGCCACTGCCCATCTGCATAGCGCCAGAACCATCGGCTTCCAGCACAACATCATCCTCCTCTTCATCATCAAGCTCACTCTCTTCATCTTCTTCTTCGTCTTCATTCTCCTCAAACTCAACTGCTACACTAACATCACAATCAAGAGCTTCGTCGCCATCATCGCGACCATCTAATTGGTAGTCAGTGATGAGTTGCCCATTTGACACCAACTTATCAAATACCTGGTCCGAAATAGGGTTTAACAGCTTTTTAATTTCCAATTTCTTTTCAGGGTTCTTAAAGTTGCCGTCTTTTAACACGGCCAATATCTCATCAGCGGCCCCACTCACAATACTAAAGGGTTGTCCACCAATTTACTGTTGAATGAGACTGTAAACATAAGCTCCGATTTTACTTCCCATGGTTATTGGAGTTTGTTGTTGATATCTTGGAAGGAGTTATGCGAGTGCGTTGGGAGTGTGCTAAGGTTCTGAGCTTTTTCCTTTGTTTGGGTTGTGTTCTATGTTTTGCTAGAAGTGGCTATGGTAGAATAGAAATGGGAGGGGGAAAGGGGAGGTGGGAGTTTGGCAGGGAAGACGAGGGAAAAATAGAAGGGAAAGAGAAAGGTCATTTTTTTCTTTTTTAATAAAAATAATGACTATCCACGCGCCTTTGTAGCGTGATATGCACACAATTAGCCATGTCAGTTGTGCGGCTTCCACATAGGCATAGTCAACGGTCAAATGTGTTTATTAGTATTTATTGCATCAAGTTGGAGTGTTCAAATGGGAAAAGTGCAAGTTCATGTATTGGCTTTTAAAACTGATGCAAGTTTAAGTGGCCAGGAAGCCATTACGCCTTTAATATACATAAAACCAAGTTCGATTATTTCAGAAGGAATCCCATTTAGGAATTATAATACACAAACTGTTTTTTGGGACTGTTTTTCGGGTGAGTACCCGGCATGTACACGATTTAGCAAAACATCAAGTCGGACTCATACATCAAAGACCAATAAATACAACCAGCAAATTGTCTCAGTTGTCTGTCACCTTTAACATGCATAGGAGCAACAAAAAGACTAAAGCTCCAGTAGCAAGTCACCTGGCAAGTCCAGCTTAAGCAACTGGTGGACGGAGCACATGATCTTGTGATGTGTCAACAACAGCAGGTTGCATGAATTGCCACATCGCAACACTAGGATAACCAATGAAAGGCATCAGTTTGTTGCCAGCAACTTGTCCTTGCGCAGTAAATGCAGCTCCCATGGCAGAGGGATGGGAGAGAAAGCCTGGTTTAGAAGCTAAGGTTTTAACCTGCTGCTCCAAATTCTCTTTTTCTTCCTTTAGCCTTTGCTTTTCATCACGGAGCTCAATCTTCTCTGCCTGAACAGACAAAGATTTTTTCTTCTGTAAGTGCCTGAAGAGAGCTAAAGAAAAGAATCCCGTCCACTCACTATTATTACTGGAATCAAGATAACGGAAAATTAGCATGGATGAAAGTAGATATTCAGTACCACCAGAACTAGAACTACACCTTAAGTTCTTTAATCTTCTCTTGCAGTTCCTCATTTGACTCCTTCAGCTTCTGGGTTTCAGTTCGCAGCTCAATCAGCATCTTTTGAGCATCACTCAGAATTGCAACTTTCTCAGTTTTAGGTGGCCTTCCAGGATCAAGGACAGAGCTCAATTCAAGGAACCTAGATGATGACAGATTTAGACGTGAGAACTCATAAGGAAGTATATATATATCACAAGAGAAAAATCTAGAGGGAGAGATCATGCCTCTCATTTAGTCTGTCCCTCCGTAATTTCTCTCGACTTGCCTTAGACCTCGGGGAGCTGCAACATTCAATTCTGGACCTGTATATAAAGTTAAAACACATAGCCAAGCAAAGAAATAAATAACACCAATTCAAATGGAATTGGTCTCCGCATGGAAAATGATATCTAAAACAACTGGCTTTAACACTTCAAAACCTCCCGGTTCTATCACATTTTCTTGTTTTGGGGGATGAGAGGGAGGGTTATTAGCAACTCACTTTAATGGTGAACCTTTTGAAAGATTGTTTTCCTTGGAAAGAGGGAAACTGGACAAAGTTATCAACCAACAGGTTATTAGAAGGCTTGTAGTCAGCCATGTACTTCAGTTAGTTTGATACAGCTTCATACAAGCTGAAGAAGTAGCTCACAAGCTTGTTGAAACTTTGATGTAGCGGCAACTTTGTTTCCTTTCAAGCTCTTCCTGTTGCTACTTCTAGTCTACTAATCTACTTTACATAACTCGTCTTTTCCAAGTTAGTCCTTTTTTCTTCTAAGTTTACGCAAATACCACACGCAAACCCTATATATAAAAATTGAACCAAAATATTGATTTTCTTTATGACTGAGAAACCCCCGAGGGGCAGTGACGCAGTCTACCCTTCTCCACTTAAATACCAGGCCTGGAATGTGTGACATGCGCCTAACCCACACGTCATATGATGCGCTCATACCACTAGACCAAAACCCTGGGGCACTAAGTACTGATTTCTTATGTGAGTTTGCCCTCTCTGTCGCTGGATATTGCAATGTGATGTTTAGAGGGTTGTGCAAGGATTGCAAGGTTATCCTGGGAGAGACCCTCGCGACTCAGCATAGGCTCTTAGTGCTGGACATCGGGAAGAGGAAGAAGAGGTATGCTCGTAGCCGACCGAGGATTAGATGGGGAGCTTTAACCAAGGATAAAGCCGAGGAGTTGGAGGGGAGGCTATCCGCTATGGGAGCTTGGAGGAGTAGTGGAGACGTGAGCACTATGTGGTCGACGACGGCGAACTATGTGAGGGAGGCGGCGAGAGAGGTGCTAGGTGTGTCGAAGGGTTTTTCTGGCAGGCACCAAGGAGACTGGTGGTGGAATGACATAGTCCAAGGTAAAGTGGAGGTGAAGAAGGTAGCGTATGCGAAGTTAGCAGGGAGCACAAGCGAGGAGGAGAGGAGTGCGAATAGAGAGAGGTACATAGTGGCTAGGAAGGAGGCAAAGCTGGCGGTTACGCAGGCTAAGAATGCAGCGTTTAGCCGTCTATACAAGGAATTAGGGGAGAAAGGCGGGGAAAGGAAGTTGTTTCGGCTGGCTAAAGCGGGGGAGAGGAAGGCCCGGGATCTGCACCAAGTAAGGTGCATCAAAGACGAGGATGGTAGAGTATTGATGGGAGAGTCTTAGATTAAGCAGAGATGGCAGACGTACTTTTATGGTATTCTAAATGATGAGGGGGACCGGGATATAGCGCTAGGGGACTTGGGGCATTCGGAGAGTCTCCGAGATTTTTGGTATTGTAGGCGCATTAAGGTGGAGGATGTCGTGGGGGCTTTGCGTAAGATGAGTAGGGGTAGAGCGACTGGGCCAGATGAAATTCGGGTTGAGTTTTGGAAGTGTGTAGGTAGAGCAGGATTGGAATGGCTACTGGGTTGTTCAATGTAATTTTTAGGACGAAGAGGATGCCGGAGGAATAGAGGTCGAGTACAGTGGTACCGTTGTACAAGAACAAAGGTGATAACCAGTGCTGTAACAATTATAGGGGTATCAAGTTACTTAGCCATACCATAAAAGTCTGGGAGAGGGTGGTGGAGGTGAGGGTGAGAAAGATGACGTCTATATCCGACAATCAGTTTGGGTTCATGTCGGGCCGCTCCACTACGGAAGCTATCCACCTTATTAGGAGGTTGGTGGAACAGTACAGGGATAAGAAGAAGGATCTGCACATGGTGTTTATTGACTTAGAGAAAGCGTATGATAAGGTTCCTAGGGAGGTGCTTTGGAGATGTCTGAGGCGAAGGGCATGGCGGTAGACTACATACGAGCGATCAAGGACATGTATGATGGAACTAAGACTAAGGTTAGGACTGTGGGAGGCGACTCGCAGCATTTCCCGGTTGTTATGGGATTACACCAAGGCTCTGTGCTTAGCCCGTTCTTATTTGCCTTGGTGATGGATGCTTTGACACACCATATTCAAGGGGAGGTGTCATGGTGTATGTTATTTGTTGATGACATAGTTCTAATTGACGAGACGAGGGCCGATGTTAACGAGAGATTGGAGGTTTGGAGACAGACTCTCGAGTCTAAGGGTTTCAAATTGAGCAGGTCTAAGACAGAGTACCTGGAGTGCAAGTTTAGCGCTGAGTCGAGGGAAGTAGGCGGGGACGTGAGGCTTGGATCACAGGTCATCCCAAAGAGAGATAGCTTCAAGTACCTTGGGTCGATGATTCAGGGGGACGGAGAGATCGACGAGGAC